CTGTAGCTCAGTGGTTAGAGCACTCGCTTTGCAAGCGAGACACCTGAGTTCAATTCTAGGCAGAGGGCGAAACCTTGGGCAAGTTTCCTTACTCCACACAGAGCCTAATAATAATCCCTCCAAAACCAAAAACAATAATAAATTGATCATTTTCAATCCACGACTGTTTGTGGGACGCTGCTGTGCGCAATTGGCTGCCGCGTTTCGCCCACAAATATACAGTCAATTCACTTTACAGCATATTCTGTGAAGCACTTTGAGAAGACGTAATAATGCAAGGATTATTATTATTATTATTACTCTCGCCTCTGAGTTCGAAGGTTGTGGGTTCCAGTCCCATGTCAGAAATTTGAACTCGCGTAGTCTAGGCCGACACTTCAATACATTGCTGGTGGAGTGCTGCATTGTCGGAGATGCCGTCTTTTGGATGAGATGCTAAACTGGAATCCCATCTGCCTGGGTAGGTAGGTGAATGTTAAAGATCCCACGGCACTATTCGGAAACAGACAGGAGTTTCTCCTGGTGCCCTGGCCAGCAATACCTCCGATAAAATTGGTCATTCACTTCACAGCTGTTTGTGGAACGTGCAAAATCGGTTGCCATCTTCCCCTACAAAATGCACAGTCACTACACTTCGCAGTGAACCATGTGTCGTGCTTTGAATCATCCTCTCAGACGTGAAAGATGCTACATCGGAGATACGGAGACCAAATGGTGACGTAGCTTTTTGCTGTGCTCAAGACGGCTGCCATGATGGCCGAAAAGTGCACAAGACTTCCACACACTGCTGTACATCGGGGAAACTTATCCAACGTTTCGCCCTGTCGGGAATCAAACCCAGGTCCTCTCGCTTGCGAGACGAGTGCTCCAACCATTAAGCTACATGGAAATTAGACCTTCAACACCTTTGACAACCAAAGAGAAAGTTAACTAATTCTCCAGGCACCAAGGACACAGATATTGGTCTCATGGGGGTCAGTGACACTGTTAATTGTAACTTGATGTGAACGTTGCGACGCATCACAAATGTGGTTTATCTTATTAATTACTTTCGGTGATGGCGATCGGATTAGAATGCAAACTCCTTTCCCTTTCTTTCCATCTGCAATTTGGGAATGGAAAGACACGGGGAAGAGGTCAAGTGAATATTCAACTTACGCTTCGCAATGTCTCTACAAAGATAACTAATTTGACAGCGTAGCATTAAATGTGTGGTCTCACTTAAGTACTAATAGTGTAAGCCAAAATTTATTTGGATATTCATTTCCTCTTAATCCATCACTTACTGACTCAGTCTTGTCCAACCCAACGTTAACCTAACAATAAACCACCCAGATTACTATTAAATTCAGCTCCACCCTCTCTGGCTCAGTTTAAATCTTTCACAGGTTTTTCACAAGTTGCAAAATAACAGTATTCATGAAATTCCACCCGGTTTTAGCCTGTACATTTTATTTTGCCTTAAAATTTAAGACGGCTTTAAAGATTGCAGAAAAAAACAGCTTCCAAAATTAAGACTTTATTTAAGAATTTCCCACGATTCTGCACCATCTTAAATGTATTAATAATAAAAATCCTTGAATTTGATGCAGTGCCTTATCACGTGGTCAAAACGTCTCAAAGCACTTCACAGGATATACCATAAAATGATGTTACGGTGTCTATTCTGTGGGCAAACACGGCAGCCAATTTGCGCTCAGCAATGTCCCACAAATATCCCACAAATTTGAAGATCAAAATAAAGGCAAAAAGAAGATCAAAAAGAGGTTAATAATAATAATATTTGTTGCATTTCACACCGCATCTGAAAAGTCCCAAAGAGCTACATTGAGTATTTTGTAAAGTGTTGTGACTGTGTATATTTGTAGGTAAATGTTGGACTTCAGTCTTCTCTCTATATATAAATAATCCTTACATTTGATATAGCGCCTTATCAGGTCATCATGTCTCGAAGGCGCTTCACAGAATATACTGTAAAGTAAATTGATCAGTTTTGTGGATTTCAGACCTCTGAGCCTCGAAGCAGCCAAACCTTTGGGCTTCTGGTTCTGTTGCATGCGTTTGCCTACAAGACCATGCACAGTCACTTTGAGACATTATGACAACAGCGTTTCTGGGTTGTGGGCTTATTATTCCTAGACAAGGGTCTGAATGCGTGTGTATGAGAATCTCAGTGTCATTGGGCGAAACATCTCTTTGTCTCTTTGATGGAGGTGGTTCCCTTGACTTCCTCCCAATCCAGTAAGAAACCGGTGATCGTTGCCAGGTGAGTTTGGCAGTACGCTGTGCACGTCAGACACTGCATGGAGAAATTACCTGCCTTTTGGCAAAAGGCCATGTCAAAATCCCTGGGAGGAAAATGATCAGAGCATTAATTTAATGAGAAAAAGAGAGAGCCAAGTCGGAAAATATTGCAAACGTAAACTGACAACATGTGTAAACAACCAGTTTATCAGATGTCTGTAAATCAGTGCCACAGTACATCACATTCCGGATAAGGCTTCACCTCTCCAATCAAAGCACAACAAAGCAAAGGAAGCAATTATTTTCCAAGCTGCTCCAGTTTATAACATCTCTCAGTTAGCTGGGCTACCAACTGCAGATAAACATGGATTAAACAGTACAACAACGACTTGCTTTCGGTCACCTTCCCTCTCACCACTCGGCTCTTCAGCTCTTGGGTGCCCAGCCAGCTGTGATAAGTGCTTCGAGACGTCCTCCCAACGTGAAAGGCGCTACATAAATATAGATTGTATTACATATAGCACTCTTCACGTAGATAACTTCAATTTCAACTATAGACCTGCGAAAAATTGGCTTCAAAACTAAGACTGGATTTAGGAATTGTCCTAAACTTGCACATTCTGAAATCCTAAGAATCTCAGTCTAGATCCAGAGGAAATTTCTCTCCGAGGCGCACAGCAAATGTCCCACAAAATGGCAAGAAGCCATTTTGGTCAGGACACGGGAGAAGTGGGGGTAAAGGAGATAAGTCTCTGGGCTGAATAGGTACATTTTTCAAGGAATCAACACAGAAACAATGGGCTGAACGGCCTCCTTCTGTGCTGTAAATTCTTCACATTCGTGACAATTCTCATAGAAATTAATTCCAGGTCCACGTTCTGCTACGAGAGACCTATAATGGTGCCTTTTCCATTCACATTGTCTGTCCCAACACATAGCAATGGACCCAATGCAGTAATATTCGACACTATTCCTCCTGTGTCGTTGGACGCATCCTTGTTTATTCGCTTCTCCTTTAACATGAACTCACAGTGCCGTTGACAATCTAGTGAGTTCACTCGACGTTTAAACACTTGAAGCGGCAAATGGTCCGAAAACAATGTGCCCGATCCTTTCCCACAAGTTTGGTGCAAGGAGAGAGTTTGTCAACAATCCACTCTACCTCTGCCTATATTTTACGCAGGAACACAATTGACACTTGGCTCCCGTCCCCACACTGCAGTGGGAGAGCAACAATAATCCTGTCACCGATAGTGCATTCGGCAGTCGCTGTAAATTGGCAAGAGAAATCCTAACTTGCACTGGTTACAGCGCTTGCATGATTTCACTTTCATTACAAAGAGGCTTCTTATATCACCAAAGGACCAAGAACGTTAATATTACAAACTGTGTGGTGTGGTGCAGAACGCAGAGATTTGGCAGGTTGATTATTTTGTTTGGTTGTTCGAAGCTCGCTCAGGGTGGGGGGGTGGAGTTGGAGCTTGATGGCTCCCCATCCCCCAGAGGATCGAATTCAAGATCCTCACCCTCACCTACAAGGCCATTCACGGCCTCGCTCCCTCCTACCTCTCCGACCTACTATCCCCCTACCTACCTGCACGTACCCTCCGTTCCTCTGGCTCCGGTCTGCTCCACATCCCCCGCCCCAACCGCCCTACCATCGGTGGCCGGGCCTTCAGCCTCTCAGCCCCGAGGCTCTGGAGCTCTATCCCCCAGTGCCTTCGCCGCTTCCTCCCTTTCCTCCTTCAAGGCCGGTCTCAAGACCTTTCTCTTTGACCGTGCCTTCAGCTCCCCTCTCGACTCTCTACCCCCTCCTCGCTCCCTCCCGTCCCTCCCCTCACCCTGACCATTTCTCCCCTCCTCGCTCCCTCCCGTCCCTCCCCTCACCCTGACCATTTCCCCCCTGCTCGGGTCCTGACCTAACTGTCCAGCACCTTGGGACGTCCTCCAGACGTGAAAGGCGCTCAATAAATGGAATCTTGTTGTGGTTGTTGTTGTTGTTGAGACGTTGCTAGGTTGATATCAGGAATTACAGTCATTGGTTCAAAGGACATTTCGCCGGAGGAAATGAGCTTCCGCAGCCACGATGACAATAACACCTTGCATTTATATTCTGCCTTTCGCGTAGGGTAACATCTCGGAGCGCTGTACAGTGGCAGGGTTTGGATGTTGAGCCATGAAGAAGGGGGAGAAGGAGAGGGTGACCGTAGGCACGGTCGAAGAGGTAGGTAGAGATTGGGATGGTTTTGGCAACCAGTAAAAGAGCAGAAGGGTTTATTTAGATGAAGAAGGCCTATTGAACTCATCTTTCCAAAATACCAACCTTAAAGCATTAATAATAATAATATTCTTGTGTTTGATATATGCCTTTTCACGTTGTTAAGATGTCTCAAAGAGCTTCACAGAATATACTGTAAAGTGAATTGTCTGTATAACTTTCTGAGTGCCCCAATTGTTACTATTATTTATTTATTTAATTTTTGAAGGCATTATTACCCCGGAAAGTGGATTTCAGGGTGACAAACCCTACTTACTGCTGGGTAAACAGAGGCGTGTGGAGTAAGGAAAGTGGCCTGAGGTTTCTCCCTGCCCAGGAATCGAACCCAGGTCCTCTCAGTTGCGAGACGAGTGCTCTAACCACCAAGTTACAGGACTCCGTGACATGAGGCATTCAGCCCAAGAGTTCCATTGGATCATGCTGCAACTGCAGAACCTTTACGGGGAAGTCTCGAAGGTTTGGTTTAAAACTTTTTGGCTGTCAATGTTTGAGCTGACGGTTTGTGAACTTTCGATGAACTCGCTCTCCTTCAGGCTGGAATTTTTCTTTCCATTGATTTCTTTCGCACAGATCAATACGGAGGGTACGTAGGTGAGGTTCAACCCAATATCAGTGTTGAATGCCAAGCGGTCCTCCCTCGCCACATTAATTAAACCGTTCGCTCACTCAGCTGAACGCAAACACAATAAGAAATAAATAACCCGCAAATACAGGACTTGCATCAATTGCCGCTTTCAAACTTTCATAACCCGTGCAAACTGCTTCGAAAGTCGTAAAATCGAACACGTTATTTTCAACAGAACAAAAAACATAGTTTTTAATCAACATTTCCAACGAACGTGAAAATAAGAGACTTCTCGACCTTTCTTTACAGCAATAGAATAAGACGATTTCGCTGTCGTAAATGTATTGTACAAAAATAAATATTATATATATGGGGAAACTGTACAAGTCAACTGTACAGTGGCCGGCTATACGCTGAGCAATGTCAGGATGATCATACACGTTAAAGTCATCGCCAAGCTGTGCAAGTGTCGAACTGTTCGATTTATGGGAGATGTCGTTGTGAATATTGCCTCCGAAGTGTTTCTGGGTAACGGGAGGTTACAGATTGGCCCTTCACAACACGAAGTGCAAACCTGAAAGAGATGTCAATTGAACTCCATTAAACACTACTGTATTCTTTCTCTTCCCTCCATCCTGCCGACCCCATAATCAACCTGCACACTCCATCCGCTCAGCAGGCTGTGGCCTGCTCCACGTCCCCCGCCCAGCCCCCCCCCAACTACCCCCCCCACCATCGGCGGTTGGGCCTTCAGCCTCTCCTCCCCCACCCTTTGGATCTCCATTCCACATTCCCTTCGCCTCACCCCCTTCCCTTGCCTCCTTCAAGCTGCGTCTCAAACCCTCCTCTTTGATCAAGCTTTCAGCCATCCTCCTTGGCTTGGGGGGACCCCAGAGTGTGCGCTGGGGTAACTGCTGGAGTCTAACCAGCTAAAACCCCATAGCTTACCATAGATGTCGCTGTCACTCAAGCTTTCTCGCTGCTTGTCCAGCTATGACCATTAGGGATTGTGGCTTGCACTCTACCCATTAGGAGCTGAGTGGGATGATTCCCTGCCCTCCCAGTGACTGGTCTGCCTTTCGAAGTCCTGCCAATGAGCCAGTCTGGGCTGTGCTGTCATCAGCAGTGCCCTGGAATACTGCGGACCCTCCTGGCTCCAGAAACGGTTGAGATGGGTCAGTGAGTTAGTCGAGTATCTCTAACATTGTGTTTTTGCCATAACATTGGGAGGTATTCCAGGCTTTGGGTGAAGCCAAGGAGGGTAGGGGAGATAAGTGGGGGAAATGCTGACAACAAAAGCAGTAGTTAATCAAAGACGGACTTGGACTGCAATGGATTAATTTGCAGGGGTATGGCGAAAGAAGCAGGGGAGACTGATTCCAATCAGCCGGCACAGGCACGATGGGATGACTGGCCTCCTTCTGTGCTGAACAATTCTATGACGCTATGAATTATCGCAGCACAGATCAACGTATTGTTTCGCCTCCCAGTCACGTCAACTATTAAGGCAGCTATTGACGCTTCCCCTCCCTCACCTTGTTTCCTTCATAATCAGGTCCTGTGCAACCCACAAACAGACACTTCTCCAATGGCACACAACGCTTTGTGACCAACACACTGTCACCGTTATCGTTCATCTTGTGCCTTGTGTAACAGTACCTTGTTTCTACATAGAAAGGAAGGGGGGAAAGGATTAGCAGAAGGGCTATTGACTCTCATCATCATCATCATAATAATAATCCTTGCATTTGATATAGCGCTTTTCAAGTCTTCTCGACGTCTCAAAGCGCTTCACAGAATAGACTGTAAAGTGAATTGACTGTATACTTGTGGGCGAAACGCGACAGCCAATTGCGCACATCAGCGTCCCACAAACAGTCGTGGATTGAGCGACCAAATTATTATTCTGGTTTTTTTCGTGAGGGATTATTATCAGGCGTGTGGAGGAAGGAAACTTTCCCAAGGTTTCGTCCTGCCAGGAATCAAGCCCAGGTCTCTCGCTTGCTAAGCGAGCGCTCAAACACTGAGCTACAGGACTCCATGACGTTAATAATCCTCGCATTTGATACAGCGCCTTATCACATCATCGAGACGTCTCAAAGCGCTTGACTGTAAAGAGTAGTGACTGTACTTTGTAGGTGAACGCGGCAGCCAATTTGCACGCAACAATGTATTGCCTTCTCATGTTAAACCAGAGATGCTCGTTGTCTCACTTTCAGAATGCAACCGTCGTCCTCATTAAAAAGCACAGCATGAATGATGTTAAGTCTCTAATGGAGACATGAAACATCAATGGGTTCTGTGTTGTCAAGTTAACCCATTACATGGTACAATTAGACTCCAAGTGAGTAGCCATTCTGAGCAGAGGGCTGCAACAAAGATTTTCATCTAAATGAGTTTCCGTTACCAAAACGCATGCCAAAGAGTGAAAAAAGGAAAAATTCAACATGGAGTCCCGTAGTGTGGTGGTTTGCACGCTGGACTCGCAAGCGAGAGCACCTGGGTTCGATTCCCGGGTGGGGCGAAACCTTAGGCAAATGTTCTTTCTCCACATGCTCCTGTTTACCTAACAGCGAGTAGCAAGCTGGTTGTTAGTCGATTGGCAGGTCGCTTTCCGGGGATAAAATAATCTCTCCGAAAAAAAATGTGGTCACTCAATCCACGACTGTTTGTGGGACACTGTCATATGCGAATGGCTGCCACGTTTCACCCACAAAACATACAGTCAATCCACTTTACAATATGTTCCGTAAAGCGCTTTGAGACGTCCCAACGATGTGATAAAGGGCTGTATCAAATGCAAGGAGTATAACGTCTCAATCATCCCTGGTGATAATTATATCATCTGAGTGCATTGTTGAAACGTCTCAAAACGCTTCACAGAATATACTGTAAAGTGGATTGACTCTATATTTTGTGGCCAAAACACAGCAGCCAATTGCATATAGCAGTGCAATTTATTTTTATTGCTTAAAGTGCTCTTGCTGGCACAAGTAGGTCCACTTTATTACAACATGGTCCTTGTGTGCCAAACATTTAGTGCGTTATAATGAGACACCTTGATGGAGTAAAGGAGAGCTATTATTCACTCGATGGATCAATTGAGGAATTACAACAAATGGCTCCACAAGCAAGGCACCCATCTGGGTACAGCAAAGGCTGCTGCCTGGCTCATTGCCTTGGCTCTGTTGGTAGCACTCTCGTCTCTAAGTCAGAGGGCTGTGGTTTCAAACCCCACATCAGAACTTTGATCGCGAATAATCTAAGCTGCTACTCCAATACACAGCGCTTCCTGGTACATATCCATCGGCGGCCACAGTTTCAGCCACTACGCCAAGAAACTCTGGAACTCTCTCCCTCAATGCTTCCGCCTCGCCCCCTCCTTGCCCATCTTCATGTGTTGCACTTGAGGACCTTCCTCTTCGACTGTGCTTACGGTCACCTCTCTCGTCCTCGGCATCATGCTCCGCCACTGTCAAGCGCTCTGGGACGCTACTCTGTGTGGGGTGGGCGGGGGGGGGTGTTATATAAATAAAAGTTGCTGTTGTCGTTGGTGGTGGTAAACCCATTCCAGCTGTTCACTGCCCTCCGTTAAGAAACTCTTCCCGAAATTGCTCTGCAACATCTTGAACTCGTCTTGCTGTTTTTCGGCTAATTTAATTGTGTCATTCTGGGCCGTGTGCCATTGTCCCGGGGCATGAACGCAGTTGTTTTATGCTCATCGGATCTTGATGTTGAAGAACAGATACCCAACAATGACTGAATCACCCACGATGATAAAAACATGACCTGCCAAGCAAAGTTCAGACGTGGCATTCCATTTGCTCCACGCGGGCTTTTGTTTGAAGGCTTTCAAAACGCCCTCTGAAGAATTCATGTCACAGATCGGACTGTTAAGGAGCAATTCAACTGCTGTGAATTATCGGTTTTAATTTCCCTGCAGTGAATGGTCACATTCCTGGGCAGTCAAATGAAGACTTACCATCCTGCAAGAGAGGATGTGCCAGCACCTGTTTATGGTGATGTGAGGTGAGGTGTGAATGCCTCTCAAAAGGTGAGGGAGGGAGTTTGGGGGTGGGGGGGGGAAGAAAGTTTAAGGTTTAACCGTTAGCACACCAACCTACTTGTGAGTAGCTAATCAGGGAGGAATCCATCAGTGTTTCCTGGGTACCAAATAATAATAATAATCCTTGCATTTGACATAGCACCTTATCACATCGTTGATTCGTCTGAAAGCGCTGCACAGAATATACCGTAAAGTGAATTGATTGTGTATTTTGTGGGTGAAACGCGGCAGCCAACTGCGCACAGCAGTGTCCCACAAACAGTCACGGATGGATTCAGAGACCAAATTTTTTTTTAATTCAAGGGATTATTACCCCCAGAAAATCAATCCGCCTATCGGCTAATAACCCGGTTGCAGTTTACTGCTCGGCAAACAGAGACGTGTGGAGTAAGGAAACTTGCCTAATGTTTTGCCCTGCCCTGGGAATCGAACCCAAATCCTCTCGCTTGCGAAGCGAACGCCCTAACCACTGAACTACAGGACTCCAGAGCACAGGGTTTTCCGAGGTACCAAATTGCATTGGGACGGTAAACAACTGTTTCGAAACCAGCAGCAGATGATGGACAAATGTTCCCATGGGTTCATTCGAAAAGTTTTCCGGCCCTCGAGTGTTTGCTTAAAGAAATGTCTTTCATTTCTTTAAGCAAAGTGTGTCATTTCGCTCTGCACCAGTAAGAGGGTTCTGCACGGGTCCAGATTTACTCTACGTAGAGCAGCCAGAGCTTCAGCACTCTGTTGCATTAAGTCTCAACTTTGAAGTCAGTTTCCTGTAATCCGACATACCTTTTGGACAGTAGATATCCGGAGCCCAGCGGTTACACTCATAATTGTCAGGCGCTTTTTCGCAAGTAAAACACTTGAAGCCACCGGGATAGGGTGTTGCTGTGAAGGAACAGAGAAGAATAAACCTTTCGCTGCTGCAAACGCTTTCCCGTTACTTTTTTGCGTATTATTACTTTTCTCTGACCCAAACTTCGTCCTTTGGATGAGATGTTAAACCGAGGTCTCGTCTGCCTGTTCAGGTGGATGTTAAAGATCCCATAGCACTACTCGAAAAAGAGAAGGGAGTTTTTCTCTCTCTCTCTCTCTCTTTCTCTCTCTCTCGGCATCCTGGCCAACAAATCCCTCAACTAAAATTGGTCACTCACTCCACGACTGTTTGTGGGACACTGCTGTGAGCAATTGGCTGCTGCATTTTGCCCACAAAATACGCAGCCCCTGCACTTGACAGTATATCCTGTGAAGCGGTTTGAGACATTGTGATGACGTGATAAGGAGTTCTATTAAATGCAAGGATTGGTGTTGTTATTATTATTTATTTTACTACACTTGGCAGCTAATTTGTAACTAAAAACGGAGGCGAAGTACAGTGTGACAAGAGAAAGCTAAAGAGAAGATACGGTGGCTGTGGTTCCATTGCAAAAATGATTACAGGACATCCCGTTGGTGTAATGGAGAGAGCTGCAGTTTACAGCCCAGAAACTCGTTGGCTCGAATCAGTTTGCTGGTCTCAGTTGGAGCTGCATGAGCAGACTCTATTGACCCCAAGGCTAGGGAGGGTGAAATCAGGTGAGCGTGTTCATTTCTTTACATATATATTGCCTCCAGGTCCCAATGACTCCAAATTGGTAATGTTAAGCCAAGTGTAAATGTGTGAATCGCGTGACCAACCCTCACGATGGAATGAATCAGGACAATGCGTTAATAGAAATCCTCTCCAGAGCAAAGATATTTTTCGCCACAGAAACGCAGTGTGGAAATGCCACCCTGAAAAGGTATTTGGAGTATTTGCAGAGATAACTAATTGCTCGTTATTGCACTTGGAAATTTTCTTTCAAAACCAAGGCGGCGTCAGGAGTCAGCAAAAGATGTTTCTAATTCATCATTGGAAAGAAATGCACATGGTTTTTAATGTGCTGTTCTGATGGAATTTACAGATCAACTTCTGCCTCTTGCAGTGGTTGAGCCAAGAACTCACCTAATGGACAGGATATTGATCTGACAGGTCCTGTCATCTGAGTCAGGCAATTACTCATTTCCAACATTGTTATTAACTGTGCTCCATGGTGAAAGATGGATCTACTATTCACCAACAAAGAAATGCAGCCTGTCTCTCATTCATCATAACAGCACTCAATTGTAGATTTGGCTGAGATCTCTCTGACTCTGTTGAACCAGTTACCTCTCCAGATACCATGGAAATGTACAATACAGATGTATGTCAGCCTGACTCAGTGGTAGCACTTACACCTCTGAGTTAGAAGGTTGTGGGTTCAAGACCCACACCGGGACTTGAAATCACATCATCTAAGCTAAGACTTCAATTCAGTTCCTAGAAGATGATGTCCTTTGGATGAGATGTTAAACTGAGGTCCGGTCTGCCTATTCAGATGGACTTTAATGATCACTATTCGAAAAGAGAAGAGTTTATCCCGGTGTACTGGCCAATAATCGGCCAAATAAAATTCGTCATTCACTTCACGGCTGTTTGTGGGACATTGCTGCGTGCAAATTGGCTGCATCATTTGCCCCCCCAAAATACACAGTCACTGCACCTTGCAATATATCCTGTGAAGCACTTTAGGATGTCCTGGTGACAGGAAAAGCATTATACCAAATTCAAGGATTATTATTTAAAATTGTTAAGCCAAGTGTAAATGTGTCAATCGTGTGATCAACCCTTGCAATGATTTGGCAAAAAAATGTCATGTAGACATTTACTCCTTCAACATCCTTATCCCAATTCTCTGCTCGTAACCTGTACATCTTGAATACTCTTCCTCCCCATCCAATTCCTTTGGTCATGACGACATCTCCCAGCGCTTCACAAGGTTTATCGTAAAGTCTAGTATTAGCGTAGGCAAACAATAGGGACTGCTCCATGGATCCCATATCTCTTAAATGTTGCTCCCTAATAGTTTTTCATACTGCACAATTGTGTATACCTTTACTAAGTAACATAAATCGTTTCTTGTCAATGTAGATAAATCTAACCTGACCTCCAACTGCACAAGAAGATAATTTGAAGCGAGTATAAACAATAGAGACCCACATTTTCAGGTTCCCACCGGCAATACTCCAGCAACTGAGCAAATCTCTGAACTCCCTTTGTCTATGAGCTCAGTAACACTGGAAGATTGCAGACAAGTGGAGAGAAATTCCACCTGGGTCTAGATTTACTCCATTTATATAGCAGTTGAAAGCGACCAGAACTTGGCAAATTATCGAGTTCACTCTTAACCTTGAACTTTCCGTTGTTCTTAAAATAAATTGGCAGAATACTGGCTCAAAATAAAGGCGGCATTTAACAACTTGCCGAATTTTAGATGCTCTGAAATGTTTTTTGATTGGGTGCCTTTACGTCGAGAGGACGCCTCAAAGCTTTTACTGTAAAGTGGAGCGACTGTGTGTTTTGTATGTAAAAATATGTATTTGTGTCTGTATATACAATCCAATAAAATTGGTCACCCACTCTATCGCTGTGTGTCGGCCGTTACTGAGTGCAAATTGGCTGCCATGTTTGCCCACCAAACATACTGCAGAACTTCCTGCAAAGTGCTTTGAGACGTTTCGACGACGTGATAAGGCGCTATATCAAACGCAGAGAGTATAATTATCACCATAACAAAGATGGTTAAAAGTGTTCAAAAAAAATGCACTAAAAAACATCCAGGAGATTCATCAGTCAGATGTCCTCAAAACCAGTGGCGTTATACGGTACAGGTCCTCAAATTGTCTTGCGTGAGAGAAAACGGCAACGACATCTATCCAGCAAGTGCAGCAGAACACTTTTAAGTCAACATCAAGGTTCAAATAAAGAACCCTAATAATGGTAGTAGATTAACATGGCGGCATTACTAAACCTCTGGTTTTAAGCCTGTAACAATTCACAGTAAATTGTCACCCTTTGAAACCTAGCCTAGCGTGTTCTTTCTCCAGTGATTAATCTCAGCGTTGCCCAACATATCTATAAAGGCTCCACCAAAAGGGGTGATGTCATGGTTAATGGTTATTTGCCATTTGTTTTTTTTTGCTTGCAATCCCATCTGAGAAGGCGGATGATTTATCCCAAAGTAATAATGATTACCAAAGGGGTTACCTTAACACTATCAATCATTATCAACCTGACTACAACAACAAAACTCAATGGCTTAGAAATCATCATGTATCGTGCATGACATCAGTGCTGCTGGCAGAAGCAGAAGGTAAACAGGCCGAGTCTTTTTGTACCAAACTGTTGCGCTTATTACAAATGTAATAATAATAGTAATAATTGCATTCGATATAGCATCTCAAAGTGCCTCACAGACTACACTGTGAAGTGAATTGACTGTATATTTTGTGGGTGAAATGCAGCAGCCGATTGCGCACAGCAGTGTCCCACACACAGTCGTGGATTGAGTGACCAAATTAGTATTGTTATTATTCTTTTTGGAAGGGATTATTATTACCCCCGAAAAAGCAATCCGCCCATTGACTAACAACTGGGTTCCTACTTACTGCTGAGTAAGCAGAGGCGTGTGAAGTAAGTAAACTTCCCTAAGGGCTTGCCCTGCCCAGAAATCGAACCCAGGTCCTGACTCTTGTGAGGCGAGTGCTCTAATCACTACACTACAGGACTCCACAGTGTACCTATTAGAAGAGCTTTATTAGGCTTCCCCTGCGGCCTGAATTTCCACCTAATCTTAATAGCATTCCTTGCATTTGGTACAGGGCCTTTCACAACAGGAGGATGTCTCAAAGTGCTCCACAGGACATTCTGTGTATTTTGTAGATAAACTTGGCAGCCAATTTGCGCACAGCAATGTCTGACAAACGGCTATGAAGTGAACAATCAATTTTACTTAGGATTTGTTGGTCAGGCCAGGAATAGAAACTCCCTTCTCTTTTCGAATAGTGCCATGGGATCTTTAACACAGATGGGGCCGGGTTTTAATGTCTCATACGAAATATAAATATATCCATATTTATCATTCTGTGTAGTTTTATGTTCAGCATAATCGAAGAATGACAGTGTTGAAATTGTTAGATGGTAACAATAATGAGGGGAGACCTAATAGAGGCCTTTAACATAATGAGAGGGTTTTGATACTGTATAGGAAGAAATTATTTCCTCTGGTCGTTGAGTCAATGACTAGAGGGCATCAATTCAAGATAATTAGCAGAGAGCAAAGTAGGAGATTAGAAGGATTTTTTTTTACACACACAGAGGGTTGCTAGGACATAGAATGCCCTCCTGGGTTCCTTAGTCGAGACACCCAGCCTGGTTAAGGACTCCGAGACACCGTCTGGCTTGAAGGGCGCTATATAAATTCAAGTTGTTGTTGTTGTTGATGTTGGAAGCACCTCTTGCTTACAAGTTAGAAGGTTGTGGGTTCAAGCCCCATGTTGGGACTTTCAACTCACACAGTCTCGGCTGAAGCTGCAGTATTGTGGAGAGCCGAGAGATAGCACTACAGTGGTGGAGTTGCCATCCTTCAGACAAGAACAATAAACCGAGATTCTTTCAGCGTGTCCAGTTGGATGTCAGAAAGAATAGTTTCTCCCGCTGTCCTGGCACAATGATTCCCCCTAGATGCCATGTTCCCCTTCAAGATACACAGTCGCTACATTCTGAGAAGAGCTTTGAGATGTCCTCCTGATGTGAAAGGTGTTATTATTCAATGCAAGGATTACGACTATTTTAGATAGATATCTAAAAAGAAGTAATGTGTAGGGATACAGGGGTTTCGCCCACAAAATACAGTCAATTCCCTTTACAATATATTCTTTGAAGGGCTTTCAGACGTCTCAATGACGTGATAAGGCGCTATATCAAATGCAAGGATTATTTTTATTTAAGCTGGTTAAGGGAGCTGAATGGATCGCTCTTTTAAAGAGCTGGCACAGACACAACGGGCCGAAATGGCCTCTTTCTGTGCTGTAAATTGCGATGGGATCTGCGCGTATTTTGAAATTTACCGGGGATATTCAGTGATCAAGAGGCACTCAATGTAACTCTCAGCGAGCAGTCATACATAGTTTTTTTTACTGACGTTAGGTCTCAGATCTCCCATTGCCAACACTTTGATTCGATCAGGCTTGGCTTAACTTTCACCATCAGCTGCTTTGCTCAACACAGTGTTTACTTACTTTGCTATTGTGTGAGTCTTTCCTCAGAACTGCAGCTGTCGTACACACTGAAAGGCAGAGGGATCAGCCAGCTTAGACTTTACTTAATACAGAGACAGACTTATGGTAACACGGGTCTCGCTTTATAAAGTACAATACTGTCAGGCTGGTGCTTTCATACATGCTGTCTGACCGGGTGCATAGCAAGCGCAAAGGAAAATAAAGTTATTCGCTGTGCTGTGATTTATTTGGATAATGTACATCACTTCAGTGCCTAAAAAATAATAATTTAGTCACTCAATCCACGACTGTTTGCGGGGACGCTGCTGTGCGCAAATGGCTGCCGCGCTTAGAGTCGTCTCGAAGACGTGATAAGGCGCTATAGCAAAGGCAGGGATAATTATTATTAGTATTAAGGCGTTGATTCTGTCAAAAGCAAATTAGATAGATTTCTTTCAGGAAATAATATCTCAGAATACAGTATGTAGTTTGAGGCAGGACATTGTGCAGGCGACTGCCAGGATAGTGGAAGGTGAACTGGATGGACTTTGGTCTTCTTTTGTCCAACAATTCTTATTTTCTTATCATGTTGTTGAAACATCTCAATGCACTTCACAGGATTTACTGAAGAATGCAGTATTTTGTCACACTTTATACATACACTTTACACTTTACAGTGTATTCTGCGAAGCGCTTTGAGACGTCTCGAAGACGTGATAGGGCGCTATATCGAATGCGAGGATTATTATTATTAGGTTATTATTATTATTATGAATGCGGCAGTCAATTTGCGCATGGCAATGTCCCACAAACAGCGGTGAAGTGAATAATCCAATTTCATCTGGAGGATTGTCGGTCAGGACACCGAGAGAAACTCCCTTCTCTTTTTGAATAGAGTTGTGGGATCCTTAAGGTCTGTCTGGGACCTACGCATTATAAATATGATTACATTGCTATATGCTAAATGCACTTAACGAAGTAAACAAATAAAACGTGCTTTTTTTCCTCTCCTTTGCACGGTCCCAGCTGAGAACATTACAAAGGAACCTGGAATTTGTCTAGTTTCCGAAGCTCTCTACAGACAGGGTATTTATCAGCAAAATTTCACCTAATCTTTAGCCTGTAAAGTCCATGAAAGGTTCATTCACACAGAACTAGAAAAAATCAGCAGGTCAACTAATCCATGCCAGTGTTCATACCGCACACAAGCGCCAACCCTTGTTATTCCCTTCGCCAATACCACTTTATTACCTTCTCCCTCATGCATGATCCCCGTAGCATAGTGGTTATCACGCTTGCCGAGCTCACGAGAGGATCAGGGTTTGGAGAAACCCTTAGGCAAGTTTCCTTACTCTACACGCCTCTCTTTACCTCGCAGTAAGTAGGAACCCGCTTGTTAGTCGATTGGCAGATCGCTCTCCGGGGGTAATAATCCCTAAAAAAATTTGGTCACTCAATCCACGACTGGATTTCGCCCACAAAATATACAGTCAATCCACTTTACAATATAATCTTTGATGCGCATTGAGACGTCTCAACGACGTGATAAGGTGGTACATGAAATACAAGGATTATTATCATAAGCTCTCTCGTACTGCAGAGAAACTGTCTCCGTTATGGAGGACTTTAAGAACTTTCTTAAGAACTTTCTTAGAAATCTGTGAGATGTGAAAATGACTAAGACTAGATGCAATCGTGGGGCCCTTTGGTACGTTTCGACCATCTTGCAGCAATTGAACGGGTAACATAATTGTTCCGAATTTCTGCACAACTTCTGGGCTCAATTCAGCCGCTTGCCCCGAGGCCCAAAGCAAATAGCCTTCAATGAAAGACAATTGCACAACCGTACAGGAAGCAATGATCAACATGGAAATCGACGTGGGGGAGGAGGGGGAAAAAAGAGAGGAAATATTCAGTGAAAGAGAAGCTCAGGGTTTGCTCTTTGAAAGCAGTCTGTTGTATTAAGTGAACTGATTCCATGTCTGATGTGACATAAGGGAACGTTAGGGGTTCCTCGGAGATAGCATGGAATTTTCTTCATCAGGACTTCAAAGCATTCTGTGGTACTGTAGCACTTCACACAGTTGCTTGTGCAGCTGTGCTGGAGAGTATCATCTGGCTCCCAGTCACAGAGATTAATGGGCTCCCCAGACTAGGTTTTCAGAAGCAGAAGGCTCCCCTGAAGAGTCTATGATACGCAGGCAAACTGCACAGCGAGTCTCTCTGATACCTAATGATCCTTGCATTTGACACAGCGCCTTATCGCATCTTCAAGACGTCTCAAAGCGTTTCACAGAACTTACTGCAAATTCACGGAATTTACTGAACCCACTGTACATTTTGTGGGCGAAATACAGCAGCACAGCGCGTATCACACTGAGTGACCCCTTTATTATTTTTATTATATTATTAGAACTCCCTAATGAGCTTGCAACTCAGTAAATTAGCACCTACCGTCAGGTGCTAATGTAAAGAATAATAATCCTAGCATTTGATATAGTGCCGATAATAATACAGTAAAACAACAACAACAAGATGACATTTGTATAGCATTAAAACTCGCATTAGCTGACTGATCCGTATAAATCGTATAATGGCCTAAGTCATACACCTGCCCAAGCCCTGAGTTTATAGTCTCTGCAAGTTTGACATAACTCATACTTTGCATAAGTCATATTAAATGTATGATACGACTGATACGACTTATGTGAGGTTTACTTTAGCAATAATAATAATCTTTGCTTTTGACATAGCGCCAATGACATCAAGAATGTCTCAAAGCGCTTCACAGGCTTTTTCAGGAAAGTGGAGTGACTGCGTACTTGTAGGCGATGGCGTTGAAACGTCTCAAAGTGCTTCACAGGTAATTGTTAGCAAATTTGTAACTGTGTAGGTCAAGATAGTTTAGCCCAGCAATGTCCCACTTACAGCCATGAAGTCACGGAATCACAGAATATTTCAGCACAGAAGGAGGCCATTCGGCCTATCGTGCCTGCACTGGTTATCTGAAAGGTCTATCCATGTAGACCCTCTACTCTGCTTTTCCCCAAAGTCACTCATATGTTAACCTTTTGAAAGGTTTCTCTTTTGAAAGCTCTGGTGGATTCTGTTTCCGTCACCATTTGTGGTGCGGGATTTAGACGTCTGAATAACTGTTTGGGTAAAAGAAAAAAAACATGAAGGACCAATTTCTGATCGAGGGGGGATTGTTGGCCAAGACACTGGGAGAACCTCCCTTCTCCTTTCGTAATAATACCACAGGATCTTTACTGACAGATGGGACCTCAGTCTCATCTGAATATTTTTACCATCATCACTGTAAGATTAACCAGCAAACAAGCACAGCATAACCCCTCATATACTGGGTGCATTGCCTCTATAAAGCATTTTTTGAGCAATCGGACTATCAATTATTTTCTTCGAAAAGCCAAAGAAATCTTTAAGGTGCAACATATCGTATAAGGTTCTTTTGTATAACAACAGCAACTTGTATTAAAGGCACTTTTAACGCAGGATAGCATCTCGGAGCGCTGCTCTCTGAGAGGTCCAAGAGATTACACCAAGGTACAAGACAGAATGATCATCAAGAGGGGAGGAAAGGAAAGACTCAATAAGAGAGAGCTGAGAGCCTTCTCTTTGAAAGCAGTCTATTGTATTATTTTAACTGATCCCATGTCTGATAATGACAAAGGAAATAACTAGGACATGATAACGAGATTTAATGTGAATAGACATATGTTAAATTCATGTGGAATACATTAAAACTAAAAGGGCAGACAACTGGTCACTTGGGGGCAAGGAATCATCCCACTCAGCTCCTGTTAACCCTGCAAGCCAAAGCCCTAACGAGTCGGGATCAGGAGGGGTGGAGGGCGGAGAGGCGAGGGGTTAGGAGGGTGATAGACGACGAGGTCGAAGAGGATGATTTTGAGACGGGCCTTGAAGAAGGCAAGGGAGGGAGTGAGGCGAAGGGAATGTGAGATGGGTTTCCAAAAGGTTGGGGGGGCAGAGAGGCTGAACGCCCGACCGCCGATAGTGGGGCAGGCTGGAGCCCGCTGAGCAGAGGGAGCAGACACTTTGATATGGGGGTTAGCAGATGGGTGAGATCCAGGGGAAATTCTCCACCCCCTCAAAACCCCCCACCTCCCACTCCCCTGCCCACCCAGGGCTTTGCATTAAAGGTCTGAGTTGCAGAAAAACAATTTCTGGGCAATTGTTGGCGTGAGTCTCCTGAGGCGACAGAAGAAGGAAAAAAAAACCTTATCTCTTACTTGAAGGGTGGAGGTAGATGATGTCTTTCACTGTGAAATCCCGAGGTTGAGCCAGCTTCAGGCAGTCAGCAATGAGGCTCAGGAGCAGAAGCCAGGCCGACGCAGGGCGGGTTTCCATCCCTGGTCTTGGGCCTGAGCATACAGAGAGCAGGCCAGTCGCCCCTTTGCTTAGTAGAAAGTAGCTAGAATAGCAAAACACAAGAGTGGCAAAGGTTACCTTCGAACGCTTCCATAAGAAATACTAGGCGAATAAAAGACCAAGGTCCATCTCGTTCGCCTTCCACATTCCTGGGGATCGCTGGCACAGAAGTCCCAAACTACCTATGTACTAAATTCATAATGTTATTTCCTAAGAGAAAACTATCTAATCTGTGTTTGAAGGAATCAACGTTTCCTGCTTCAACCGTCCTCCTCGGGAGCACTGAAACAGTGAGCTTTCAGCCAACGCACCGATAGAATCCTGTCAAGATGTCATCCTGACGTGAAAGGCGGTTTATCTAACACAGATTATTATTATTATTAATCGTGTGAAAGTCTGGTTCATTTGGTAGTGCTCTCGCCTCTGAGTTATTTAGAAGGTTGTGGGTTTAAGCCCCACGTCGGAACTTGGAATCATATAGTCTAAGCTGATGCTCCAAAGCAAAGCTGGGTGCGAGGGGGTTGCATTGGCAAAGGCCTGACCTTTGGAGAAGTTAAACTGAGGTCCTGTCTGCCCTGTTCAGGTGAATGTTAAAGATCTTTCTTTTTCCTGGTGTCCTGGACAACAAATCCTCCAAATAAAATTGGTCCCTCACTCCATGGCTGTCTGTGGGACATTGCTGCGTGCAAAACTTTCTGCCTTGTTTTGCCCACAAAATACACAGTTACTATGCTTTACAGTACATTCTATGAAGCGCCTTGAGACGTCTCGACGACGTGATAAGGCCCATATCAAATAAAAAGATTATTATTGATATATAATAGTGGAATGACAGATACTGCTGATACTTAGCATAGAACCGGTTATTTTCTTGCCCGCCTGTCATAATCTAAGATAGGTTTGATTAATCGGATTTAAAGTGGCCCACTTCATTTCCCCCCAAAAAACATTACAAGGGTGAATGCAACAACAACAACAACAACAGCAACAACAACATGCAGTTGTCTTCACCCCGGTAGCGCCTCGGAAGAGCTTACAGTGGAATTACATTCAGCTGAGACCAATTACGTTGACCTTGACACCAGCTCCAAAGGACTCCAATCACGCAGGAATCACAGAAATTTCGCCCACAAAATACGGGGTCAATCCACCTTAAACTACATTCTGTCTCAAGCGCTTTGAGACATCTCGACGACGTGACGAGGTGCTATATCAAGTGCAAGGATTTTATTAATCCAGAAGTTTAGCAGGGTGCGTCATCTCGGAGTTCTCGTTGGTTGTGCTGGTTTCAAATCTTTCGCAGTCTCTCTCCCCCGCACCCCACCCTCCCCCCCCCAGGGTTATTGGGGATGGCTCATATTTTTCAGCCTGCATCCCCGCTTCTAACTCCGCTTTGAAGGTTCGTATCTGGGAAGCATTTCCCACAGTGCATGAGAATTCCCTCCATTAGCCATGGGGACAAAGGATACGATCTCTTTGAACTCCAGATCAAACCAACCGAGGCCATTGCTGTTGGCAATTTGACTGGCAAGTGACTGCCAATGACTTCTCTGCGGTTGGCAAAATGTCAACTGAATCAGATGGAAGCCATCCACAGCGGACAGGGAGGGAAACAGCTGCATAATTTACTGCGACCGGCGAAACAAGCCTCTCAGGATAACGTCCGCGATCTATAGAGCCTCGGTTTGCATTGTGAAAGCTTACAGCAAAGAGGCCGACTCAATCCATCTTCTCTGGGTTGGTGAGAGCTCTGCTGTGGGAATAAGCAACTCTAATTCCACGCCCCTCCTCTATCCCCGAATTCTTTTGTACTATCTTCCTCAAATGCTTGTCCAAATTCCTTTTAAATACTCTCGCGCACTTGGCTTTGAAAGCTATTTGCGATAAAGCATCCCCCATTCTGAAACCCTCTGTGTGCAAAACAACATTTTTCTAACCTTACACAGCTGATAATCCTCACCTTAAGGCCTATAACAGTGACTGACTGACTGACGTGAATAGTAGTTTCTCTCTCCCTTACACTAACAAAAAAAGCATGTCGATTTTCGAAACCCTTCATTGTGAAAGGAAGGACTTGTGTTTCGACAATCATTTCCAAAACATTTCAAGGTGCTTTGCAGGTAATGACTAAGATGTGTGTGTAGTGATGTGTGTGTGTGTAGTGACTATCTTTTATAATACTGTAATAACCCTTGCTATTGTTGCATTGAAGGTACGTATCGGAAATGTACCTCTTTGATTGCACGTTGGTCATCTTTCACCTCCCATTCCCCCTCCTCCACCCCCAACCCCCTCAGCTCCCACCCTCCAAGATCATTCCACTCAGCTCCTGTTAACTCTGCAAGCCAAAGCCCTAACCGGAAGGGTGGTCCTAGCTGGACAAGCAGCAGGAAAGCTTGCCAGACGGCGATATCAATGGCAGGCTATGCGGTGTTAGCTGGTTAGACTCCAGCAGTTACCCCCAACGCACACTCTGGGGTCCCCAAGCCTTGGCCCTTGCCAACCTGCGCCTAATACTTTCCGGAATTAGGTAAGCAGGGAGCGTCCCTCCTGGGAGAGAGAGAGAGCGCATTCCATTCCAACAATCCATCTCTGGGATGTCCATGTGGAGGTGGGATGCAGGGAATTCTCAGCTTGGCTTGGATACTCTTAAGCGACTGTGAATTTCCGCATGTGGCGGACACCCACCCGGCTGACCAACAAAAAAAAATGCTTGCGAGTGCACATCCAGCACTGTTAAGTTCTATGAGACCATCTCCTGATGGGAAAGAGGCTTGGATGAAAAGCTGAGGTTTTTTTTTACTATCAAGATGCAAAATACGCTCAGATTTACAGGGAGAAGCATCAGCACAGTGGGCTACTCTGCTCTCCCCTTCCCCCACCCTCGAGTCACCCACCTCTGCTGAGGGCTGATGAGATTGTAACGCTGTGGCCTTTGCCTTTGCCTCAGCGCCCATAACATTAACTAACAAGTTCACAAAGCAAGTATACAATTGCTCATTTGTCTGAGATGATTAATGCAGAGCCATGTTTGTTCTGCCATCACCAGATGAGAACACAATAGGTTTCTGCTTCCTGGGGGGAAAACGTTATTATAAATATTTTGCCTTCCGGCTCAGTGCACCCAGTAAAAGGCTGCATCTCTCAAATCATAAACCCCTTTGTGAGGAGGGCAAGGCTTAACACAGGCACGACCGATGACCCTTATAATTTGGTTCATTCCTGTCTGCAGTTAGATTGCATTACAGGAGGGTCAGAGGCAAAACCTTAGCTGTGTGTTTTGTTACGGTGCATTATGTTCTGTCCACCAGTTACTAACCTGGATGAGAGGGAAGGAAAAAAGGATTTATTCAGAGGGAGGAATGTGCTCCACACAAAACAGCACTCGAAACCGCACTTGGACCTGTATCACTGTTAAAACACAAATTCCGCAATCGCACGGTAATCCATGGTATGTTACAGTCTATCCTGTGAAATGCTTCCAGACGGCTCAACGACATGATAAGACCCTATATCAAATGTAAGGATTCTTATTACTATTATTACGTTACACCAGCAACAACAAATTGCATTTATAGAGCACCTAATAACAATAATAATAATTTAATTCAGCGTCTTTCGTGTCGGGAAGATGTCTCAAAGTCTTTCACAGGATTCACTGTAAGGTGTAGTTACTTGTGTATTTTTGAAGGCAAATTAAACCGATCAGATCCCGTTAACCATGCAAGCCAAAGTCCCAACGGGCAGGTGAACAAACATAATGATAAGCTTTGCATTTGACAAAGTGCCTTATCACTTAGTTGAGACTTCTCAAAGCGCTTCACAGTATATATTGTGAAGTGAATTGACTGAGTATTTTGTAGGCGAAATGCAGAAGCCAATTACACACAGCAGCGTTCCACAAACAGTTGTGGATCGAGTGAAGGGATTATTACTCCCGGTAAGCGATCCACCAATTGACTAACAACCGGGTTTCCTACTTACTGCGAGGTAAACAGTTCCTTGGGACGTCCTCCCGACGTGAAAGGCGCGATACAAATGACAGTATACAAATGTCATTTGTTGTTGGGGTGTGGAGTAAAGAAACTTGCCTAAGGTTTCGCCCCTCCTGGGAATTGAACCCAGATCCTCTGGGGTGGAAGGCGCGCAAGCTAACCACTACACTACGGGAAGGTTATGGGTTCCCGGGTGCATCAGACACCCACCTGACCTCCCCAATAGTCGGCGGATTTCCCCTCGGCATTGAGTGGCATTACATCAGTAACCGTAAAGCTGCATTCTTGACCGATTGACATCAGCTCCGATTCGAGCACGAAACTCTTCAGAACTGACGTTATCCGCTTGATCTGTGGATTTGCACCATTTGTTTCTGAGGCCAAATAACTGATAATCACGGGCTTATAAATGTAAGCATATTTTTTAGCCTCAGCGCACTTCCATTGATCCAAAGTGACCTTGCTCTCTTTTGTCCCACAGTCAGCTCCATTAATCCCATTACCCACTCATTGCCGCATAGCGAAAGCATGAAAATGTGTTAATGAGCTTATTACGTTTCTGTCATTTGACTTCATAAATACATACGAATTCGGCTGTGGGATTTTACTGAGCATAAAGTACTAATAATCCTTTGATCCAGCACCTTTCACGTCAGGAGAATGTCTTGAAGTACTTCACAGGATTTACTTTGAAGTGTAGTGGCTGTGTATTTTGAAATGGAACAAAGTGATGTCCCACAAACAAACATGCATGTCATGAAGACATCTCAAAGCGCTTCACAAGATCCGCTGTAAAGTGCAGTGGCTGTATATTTTGTAGGCAATGTTCTCCTTAGAGCAGAGAAGGTTAAGGGTAGATTTAACAGAGGTGTTCAAAAGTATGAGGAATTTTGATAGAATAGACAGGGAGATACTGTTTCCTCTGGCGGGTGAATCGGTAACCAGAGGAATTACAATCTGGAAAGCACTGCCTGAAAGGCTGGTGGTAGCAGATCCAATATCAACTTTCAAAAGGATATTTACTTGGAAACAAACAAGTTGCAAGGCAATGGAGAAAGAGGGGGGGGGGGAAGTGGAACTAAGTGTATAGATCTTTCAAAGAGCACAGGCACGATGGGCCGAATGGCCTCCTTCTGTGCTGTAGGATTTTATGATTCTATGATTCTAAATAGGTTTAATATCTCATCTGAATGACGGCACCTCTAACAATGCGTTGGAGTATCGGCCTAGATTATGAGCTCAAAGTTTTGTCGTGGGGCTTGAACCCACAACCTTCTGACTCAAGGCAGAAGTGCCACCAACTGAGCCCGGTCGACATGCCGCAGGAACATATTTTACTGGTGTACAGTGACAATGGGTATTACTGAGCACGGACGGACATAGAGAGTGGGTGTTTGAGGGTGTTAATCAAAAGCATGGCCAAAGGATACTTGATACGTCACAGGATTTACTTTAAAATAAATCCTGTGAAGAGCTTTGTGAAGTCTCAATATGAGAGGCACTACATCAAACGAAAGGATTATTTTTAAAGTATTATTATTGTTGTTGTTATTTGATCCGCATTCAACGGTGTTATCACCCGGAGTAGGTATTTGTTAATTTCACGTAAAAAGTACATTTGCGTGGCTTGAATTGGTTCTTCGATAAAGATTAGAAAAATACCTACTTTCTCAATATCGTTCTTTCGATAGCAAAGTTATGTGGAAAATAGACAAATCCTACGTCAAGCCACGAACGAGCTGGAAAGAAATATTGACGTGGGCTTATTCGAGGTGAGTCAACCTCACACTCCGCCCTGTCCCTTCACAGATTTGTAACCAGTTAAGCTTGCCATGATTTAACCGGTTAGGAATCTAAGTTAATGGCTGATAGTTTCTCAAAGGTTGACTACATAAGAGAGTAATTACAATAGAGCCTGAGAGACATAGAATAAAGCACCATTCTACCCCTTCAGTGCAACGTACTGCAATGGCTGTGCAGTGGGGGCATTATTGGCTGGGCCACACTTCACAGATTTATCATAATAATAATAATAATAATCCTTGCACTTGATATCGCGCCTTATCACGTCTTCGAGACGTCTCAAAGCGCTTCACAGAATATACTGTGTATTATTACCTCGGGAAAGTGATCCACCAATCGACTGAGTAAACAGAGGCGTGTGGAGTAAGGAAACCTGCGTAACGTTACGCCCTGCCCCTGGAATCGAACCCAGTTTCCCTGTAAAGTGTAGTGACTAGTGCATTTGCTGGCGAAAATACCAGATTTGACCACTGGCGAAAATAAAACTCACTCGAAACTAGACAGCAATTACCGTAAAGTGTGTTTCGATGCGATGAAGCGACTTAAAAGAACAAGCTCCTACTTCTGACTTTTCTACGGCTGACTAGCCCTGGCTGAAGCCCGCTTTGTGTGGGTTTTTTTTTAAAATCAGATATCTAAAGAAGCAAGGAGGGTGTGCGGTTGAAAATGCCACCTGGGTCTGGATTTACTCCACTTACTTAGCATTTCAAAGCATATCGCATTTGGGAAACCGTGGAATCCAGTCTCGACTTTGAAGTCCGCAGTTCTTAAAAGAGCGTTAAGGCTGTATATAAGAATTTGCCCATTTCTGGACACTCTGAAACGCTACATAAACAGAGTGTGACTTGACCTGGATGGAATTTCACCCCCCAGTGTTCCTAAGAAAGTAAACTGAAGGGTTGGTAGGAGGTGGGAGTAAGCTGTGTTCTTTGCTCTTAGTCCTCTCTCTCTCTCTCTCTCTCTCTCCTTGGTCGTCGTGCCCCTCTGATTCGCAGTAATCTCACTCAAGTAATCTATTCATGAGCGTCTGCAGTTTACAAAACTCGAACGCTTTAACAAATAAGGCCTATTTGTGCGTTTGCCTGTTCTTTTTACCTCTGGTACAAATAGTAATAATAATGATCATAAACCTTACATTTGTTATAGTGCCTTATCACATTGTTGAGACGTCTGAAAGCGCTTCACAGAATACGCTGTAAAGTGTATTGAATGTATATTTTGTGGGCGAAAAGCAGCAGCCAATTGCGCACAGAAGCAGTCGTGGATTACTTTTTGAGGGATTATTTCCCCCAAAAAGTGAACGGTCAATCGACTAACGACCGGGTTCCTACGAACTGCTCGGTAAACAGAGGCGTGTGGAGTAAGGAAACTTGCCTAAGGTTTCGCCTCACCGGAGAATCGAACCCAGGTCCTTTCACTTGCGTAGCGGTTGCTCTAACCACTTAGCCACAGGAATCCACATGTACCATATTATTTCAGAATGTCCGTTTAACCCTCGCACTGCCAAATCCCCCCCAAAAATGCCGAAACGTGGGTTCGAAAAGGCACTTCATTGCGCAGTAACGCCTCAAAATGCTTCACGCAAAACGAGTTACCTTGAAGCGTAGTGACCGGTCCCCACACAGGTAAACGTCGGAGTTAATCCACGCCAGCGGGGTCCCGCTAACAGCAAGGCGTGTACGAATGAGAAGATAGTTTCTTTGGTGGCAAATCACATCTCACGGCACCTGTGGCAAGCACAGGAAATGCTAAATAAGACACAGTGATCTGCAGCTTAATTGATTTGTCGAAGCATATCTAAAGTCAACACAGATCGGGACATTTGTACCAGCAACAATATAAAATGGCAAACAAAGATAAAGCCTTTATTCGTCAAAGCTCCACTTGATAATAATCCTTGCATTTGATATAGCGTCTTATCGTGTCATTGAGATGTCTCAAAGCACTTCACATAATATATTGCAAAGTGGATTGACTGTGTGTATTTTGTGGGCGAAAACGCTGACACACAGCGAAGCGGAAGACAGCCCAGTTGGAAGTAGTCAAGTTACACTGATTATTTCACGAACTATTTCAACTCCAGAGAGAGAGAGAGAGAGAGCGATAACAAAGTCCCACACACAGCCTTGAAGTGAATGATCCATTGTATCTGGGGAAATTGTCAGCCAAGACACTCGGAGAAACTCACTTCTCTTTTCAAGTAATAATGATACAATGATCCTTGCATTTGACATAGTGTCTTATCACCTCGTCGAGATATCTCAAAGCGCTTCATTGAACATACTGTAAAGTGAATTAACTGTATATTTTGTTAATGAAACACAGCAGCCAATTGCGCACAGCAGTGTCCCACAAACAGTCATGGATTGAGGGGTTGGCACCACCGGAAAGCCATCTGCCAATCGACTAACAAACTGCGTTCCTACTTTATTTTTGGGGGAGGGATTATTACACCCCCAAAAAAAAGGCGACGGGAGGATGTGACCAAGAGCATAGCTCACGGATTCAGGAGAAGAGTTATATTCTCATGGCAGTTTCGCCCAAGAATAGCCGGCTACAAATAGCTGCTGCATTTGATTGCGAGTGACGCAGTTAGAAAGAGATTCAAAGGAAGCGTAAAGCTGCCCCGATTGACAAACAGAAGCACCGTCCCTGGCTGTAGGCAGTGAGTGCAGTCCGACCTGGTGAATGGCTCACCATAGCATGAGTGAAGCCAAGCACATCCTTGATCATACTCTGATCCAGGATTCCTACGTCCCTGGTCAGGTTTGCGACATTATCATTACACGCCACAGCTCAGTAATCGATGCAGTCAGTCAACATGGTTTGGGGACGCTGCTGTGCGCTGTTGGCTGCCGCGTTTCGCCCACCAAATGCACAGTCAATTCGCTTTACAGCGTATTCTGCGAAGCGCTTTGAGACATCTCGAAGACACGATAAGACACTACATCAAATGCAAGGATTATTATTATTATTATTGTTGTTGTGGTTTGAAAGATGTCTTTGCTACGTGTTCAGCCGAACCTATTCCTTCGAAAGGGCCAATTTTCTCCAAGTATTTAGTTTGTCTGCAAGTGGCAATAATAATCCTTGCGTTTGATACAGCGCCTAATCACATCATTGAGACATCTCAAAGCATTTCATAGAATATACTGTATATTTTCTGGGCGATACGCAGCAGGCAATTGTGCACAGCAGTGTCCCACAAACAGTCATGGATTGAGTGACCTAATTATGATTATTTATTTAGTTTGAAGGGATTATTACCCGGGAAAACGATCCACCAATTGACGAACAACTTTATTATTAGGTAAACAGAGGTGTATGGAATAAGGAAACTTACCTAAGGCTTTGCTGTGCCCCGGAATCAAACCCAGGTCCTCTCGCTTGTGAGGCGAGTGCTGTAACCAATACGCCTACAGCACACAGTCAGTCAACTCCACAGTAAATCCTGTCAAGTGCTTTGAGACGCCTCAATGACATAAGACCCTATATCAAATGGAACTATAATTAATAATAATTAATATTCTTATAGGTTGAGTTTTCAGCTCACTGAAGAGACTCAGCTCAGCCCCAACAGACTGCAAATGTTTCACCTGCACTAAACTCGGCACAAACAGAAAGCTAATGGTTTGCGGGCTGCAGAGGGGTTAAGAATTCGAGCTCTAACTTGCTCTATGAGAAATCACTTTTTTTTTTGGCTCAGCCAGATGTCCGCCACATGCAGAAACCCATCTCCGTGCTCAAGGGTCTGCAAATGGAATACGCTCTCTCTCTATCTCTCTCTCTCTCCCTCTCTCTCTCCCTGGAGGGACACATCCCGCTTACATAATTCTGGAACCCTCTCCCGGAACCCCTCCACTTCACCCCCTCCTTCCCCATCTTCAGGTCGCCCCTGAAGACCTTGTTGTTTTAATTCCGGAGAGTATTAGGGCACAGGTTGGTGTCTAACCAGCTAAAACCACATTGACCAGCAAAGCTTTCCTGCTACTTGTCCAGCTAGGACTGACCACCGCACCCGCTTTAGCTTTGGCTCGTACGGGTTAATAGGAAGAAGTTAAGTGAGGGCTGACTGCATCAGACTGACTATTAATCTCCCGCTGCTCAAGCGAGCGCCATTCCGCCTAAATATTTGGCAAATATCAAACAGCCTGTAACGAGAGCGTAATCTACCACTGACTTCAACTCTCGAGGTAGAGTTCTGGTTTGCAAAGCGTCTTGTATTGATACAATGAAAGTAGAAAGCCTCTATTGAGCACTGGATCAGCTCCTGGTGTCAGATATCCTGGGGCCTTGGGCTAAGCTTACAGAACCCCATCTTGATCCTCTTAAAAAATGGATCAAATTTTCGCTCGTTCCTTGCCCTTTGAACAGGGAAAAGGCTTTGCTGTGACCCCGAGCAGGTGTCGTTTCTATTGCTCCCCGACATCGAAGCATCAATAAGATGATCAATCGCTGCGTAAACCTGATCGCGTTTCAGCCATCGGCCCCCACGAAGGGAATTTGGTTACAGACTGAGCGGGGAAGCCCTGGGCTTCAATCCGCAGGCTGCGGTGATGTCTTCCTTGCGACTGCCTGCGTAGAGTCTGCTGGTCGTCGAGTAGCAAGATCGCAACGGTCACCAAAGCAAAGGCAACATCAAAGGCCAAGTCAGCCCTTTTTTTTTTGCAGAATGAAACAGTCATTAACGGCAGCTGTCAGGGGTTAGGGCAGAGTTCAAAGCCAATCACTTTCGTTTACCAGGGAATATTTTAACGTCTTTGACTTTCTGGAGTCACCTAGCGCGGTGGTTAGAGCGCTCGCCTCGCAAGCGAGAGAGTCCAGGTTCAATTACCGGATGGGGCGAAACCTTAGGCAAGTTTCCTTACTCCTGTTTACCTGGCAGTCAGTCAGAACCCGGTTGCTGGTCGATTGGTAGATCGCTTTCCTCCCCAAAAAATCAATAAAGAATTTGGTCACTCGATCGACGGTTTGTGGGGACGCTGCTGTGCGCAATTGGCTGCCGCGTTTCGCCCACAAAGTCCTTCCACTTTACAATATATTCTGTGAAGCGTCTTGAGCAGCTATTTCAAATTCATTATCCTCATTCAAATTGTTATTATTGTGATGGTTATGATTATTACAAGCGCCTCTGACGTAGCATGGATATCTCGAAGCGGCTGTGGGAAATAAGGCGAGGCGATTTTACGGGTGAGTTGACCAAAGCCACAGTCGAACAGATATATTTTAAAAAGGGTTTTGATGGGCGAGGAGAAAAGGCAGCTGAAACCGGACAGAAATGTCCACTGTGTTTTCAGAAGCACCGAATATTAACGGTAACACGGGTGAAATATTCAAACTCAATTCATATTCATGTTGCTTCCGCAGGGAATAAGCGTTCGAAGGCAGCAGAGCCCGGAGTGCACAACATATTGGATGAAATACAATTTACATTTCAAACGGTGCCTTTCACGTCAGGAGGATGTTTCAAAGCCCTTCACAGGATTTAGCGAAATTGTCCAACAAACAGCCGTAAAACGAAATGATCAATTTTATTTGGGGGATTGTTCCAGGGAGACATGAATAGCGAGCGGAATCGTTAGCGTCGCCCTGAACGGACAGACTGGACCTCATCCAAAGGACCGCACTTTGAACAATGCAGAGCATCCCTTAGGCCCCGCATTGGGGTGTCAGCCTGGACCTTGTAAGTACTGATGTTGGGGCTCAAACCCGCAACCTTCTGACTGAGAGGTGAGAGCGCTACCCACTGAACCAGGTGGTTAGCGCTCTCACCTCTCGGTCAGAAGGTTGCTGAACCAGGTGGGTACATGGCAACCAGGCAACCCCAAATGCTGACTGATGGCCACTTTTATAGCGCACCTCCTCATAACGTGTGGTCAAGGCTCACGGACTCAAATAAATCGTGTTATAACAACAGCAACTTTCATTTATTTATGTGTAGGGCCCTTCACGTGGGGTAGCAGCTGAGAGCTCTTAACAGCGGAGGTTTGATACCGAACCTGGCAGGAGGTGACCGTGGGGATGATCAAAGAGGGAGGTCTTCAGGTGCGATCTGAAGACGGGCACAGAGTGGTGCAAGGATTGAGGCAGGGAGTTCCAGAGCTTTGGCGTGGTGGCTGAAAGCAGCGTGAGCCTCTACAAATTACATGCTTCCCAGTGCTGCCTGACAATACAACCACAGGTGGGCCAAGTGTCATTACAACCACAACAACAACAACAAGATTTCATTTATAGAGCGCCTTTCACGTCGGGAGGACATCCCAAGGCGCTGTACAGTTGGGTCAGGACCCGAGCAGAGGGGGAAATGGTCAGGGTGAGGGGAGGGAAGGGAGGGAGCGAGAAGGGGGTAGAGAGTCGAGAGGGGAGCTGAAGGCACGGTCAAAGAGAAAGGTCTTGAGACCGGCCTTGAAGGAGGAAAGGGAGGAGGCGGCGAAGGCACTGGGGGATAGAGTTCCAGAGCCTCGGGGCTGAGAGGCTGAAGGCCCGGCCACCGATGGTAGGACGGTTGGGGCGGGGGAAGTGGAGACCGGAGCCAGAGGAACGGAGGGTACGGGCAGGTAGGTAGGGGGATAGTAGGTCGGAGAGGTAGGAGGGAGCGAGGCCGTGAATGGCCTTGTAGGTGAGGATGAGGATCTTGAATTAATAACAACAACAACGAGATTATATTTGTATAGCGCCTTTCACGTCAGGAGGACATCCCAAGGCGCTGACAGAGTACAGCATTTCAATAATAATAATAATAGTGATAATAATAATAATAATAATCCTTACATTTGATATAGCGCCTTATCACATCTTCGAGTCGTCTCAAAACGCTTCACAGAATATATTGTGAAGTGAATTGACCATGTACTTGTGGGCAAAATGGGGCAGCCAACTGCTCACAGCAGCGTCCCCACAAACAGTCGTGGATTGAGTGACCAATTTTTGTAAAAACTCGAGGGAATTATTACTCCTGGAAAAGCAATCCGCCGACCGGCTAACAACCGGGTTCCTACTTACTGCTCGGTAAACAGAGGCGTGTGGAGTAAGGGAACTTGCCTAACATTTTGCCCTGCCCGGGAATCAAACCTGGGTCCTCTCGCTTGCGAGGCGAGCGCTTTAACCACTGAAGCTGCAGAACTCCACTGTACTCCACTCATTGAAGAAGAAGTACAGGAGCAGTCTTTGACTATCGGAGGTTCTGTTCAATTTATCACAGCCTCAATGTAACACAACATAAGGTTGGACAGCGGAAGGCGTTTTCCAAAACAATACATTATTGCGGGCCTCAGGGCACATCATCTGTATTGACATTACGTTATCTGAATACACACAGCCTGTTGCAGCCTCGCTGCGGCTCGCCCTGTGATCAATTAACTCCAATATGTATTTTGACTGGAATGAAAAATATTTTTTTTCCTAAGTGACAGACGCTCATAACCTGACCATTTGAAAGCAACTGGCACCGATTCACTGGAGAGAGCCTGAATTCCCTGTAAATGATTTACCGCCAGGATTTATTGTGCACCATAGTGTAAACCGTGTGCAAACCACGTGCAGCTCTTCTGCACAGGGGAAAATTCACAGAGGCGCTTAATTACGCGATCACCAGCCAACGAAAAGCATCATTATATAATCAAGGGTGACTATAATTCCCACTGTGCACATCCATTCACACATGGTGCATAATACATCTGTGTTTACATATGATATACATAAAATAATATTAAAATGAATAATCCTTGCATCTGATATGAGGCCTTATGACGTCGTTGAGAGGTCACAAAGTGCTCCACAGAATATACTGTGAAGTGAATTGACTCTGCATTTTGCGAGCGAAATAGACTCTGTTGATACCTGGGACATAAAAGGCTTCGGGGTTTTAACTCTTCCCAGCCCAGTCGTTTTAGTTAAAAGTCAAAATAATGGTTTGTTTTTAAAGAAGATTGTCTCAATCTCATCTTGGAATCCGCACGGTCCTTTTGCCTTCTTGCTCACGTGAGCGATATCACAAGAACAGCTCAGATGTAGAAGGCCCTTCAGCCCGTCTGCTCTCACCCTCGCACGCACCAATCACAACAGCAACAACTTGCATTTATATAGCGCCCTTCACGCAAGGTAGTGTCCTGGAGCGCTACCTCGAAACAGCCGTTTCTCATATGACTCCAGCGTCAACCACCCTTCCTGGTAATCCATTCTATATGCTAATTACCCGGTGGGTAAAGATATACTTCCTGGTTTTTCTCCTGAAACTGGCCTTTGCCACCTTGAACCTGTGCCTGCTTGTTCTTCTGCTCTGCTGCGTCTGAAAGCATTGTCCCGTCTTTACCTTCTCGATACCATTTGAAATCTTGTGATGATAATAACCCTTGCATTTGGTACAACGTTTTATCCACCTATACGCAGTCAATTCACTTTACAGTACACTCTGCGCAGCGCTCTGAGACATTTAAAGGACGTGAAAAGCGTTATACCAAATGCAAGGATTATTACGTATTATTTATCATAGCGTCAGGACGTCTCAAAGGGCTTCACACGAAATACTGTAAAGTGTAGTGACTGTGTATTTTGTGGGCGAAACGTGGCAGCCAGTTGCGCACAGCAGTGTCCCACAAACAACCAATTTCATTGGGAGTGGGGGGGGAAGGAATTATTGGCCAGGACACTGGGAGAAATTCCCTCCTCTTTTCGAATAGTGCCTTGGGAATCTTTAGCATCCACTTGACCAGGCATGTGGGACCTCGGTTTAATGTTTCATCCGAAGGACGGCACCTCCAACAATAAAGCACACACCCCAGCACTGCATTGGAGCGTCATCTTCGACCGCGCGATTCAAAGACCCGAAGTGGGGCTTGAACCCACGTCCTTCTGAATCAGAGGCGAGAGTGCGAGCACTGCGCCAGGCTGACACACACAACCTTACACATCTCTGTCAGGTCTCTTTTCAAGGCCGAAGGTCCCCTGAGCTGGTCTAATCGCTTCTCATGGGATGATTCCTAACACCCCGGCGATCGACCCAGTTCCTCTCCTCGGCGCTGGCTCCGGGGCCTGGTGTGCCCCCACCTTGCGCCAGAGCGGCCAGACCAGTGGCGCAGTGCTCCAGGTACAGTCCGAAACAGCTGCGAAATGCCAGGTTGGTTACAGTGAGTCATTGTCTCCGGAGCTGCATCTGCTGCACGGGACCATCTGCGAATGCGAACGGCCCAAAAATGCAAGCAATGCGATAATAACACGTTAGGCGGATTTCAACTGCAAACAGTGTAATGTAACTCTGTGAAAGCACATGTGGCTGTCTGACCCGAGGAGACCGTGGTGCGTCTGTCAGCGCAGCTGGCAGCTCACAACCGCCTTTCATCTCTGCGTACAGTGTGAGCTCCCAGACAAGGCGCATTGCAGAGCAGGTTACATACAGTACGTGCTAATCGCTGCTCACTCAGCAGCTCCACCCACATGATAAGCTCTCTCGCTGCCGCTTAATGGAACAAGTCAAGCCTGAAATGGCTACCCCCCCGTCTCCGTGTGTATTTCAGAACAGATTCCAGCTCGGGGCTGCTTTGCTTAACATAGCCCGCCAACACATACCACAGCACACACACACCACACACACACAGACAGGGGTACACATGTACATAGGCGCACACACACATACACACACACAGGCAGGGGTACACATGTACATAGGCGCACACACACACACACACACACACACAGGCAGGGGTACACATGTACATAGGCGCACACACACACACAGACAGGGGTACACATGTACATAGGCGCACGCGCGTGCACACACACACACAAACTGACGCACATGCGCACACACATGCAACACACACACACAGCACACTCACACACATGCAGCGTACACACACACACACACACACGCAGCGCGCTCACACACGCGCGCAGATTCGCGTTAACAATCCCGTGCCGCTGTTCAAAAAGCGAAGGGAATTTCTCTCTCCTGGGGTCCTGACCAAAAATCCCGCTCCGGATAAAATAAGTGGTTCACTTCATGGCTATTTGTGGGGTACTGCTGTGTGCAAATTGGCTGCATGTTCACCTGCAGAACAATCACTGAACATTACAGCATATCCTGTGATGGGCACTTTACCAAATGCAACGATTATTAATATTTCTATTACCAGCGGAGGGGGAAAGTGCCCGTTTCTGGGCTCAAAGTCGCTCAAGAATCCCACGTACAAAGTACACCATCATAGTTGTTTTAACCGCTGGGCGCAATTGGCTGCCGAGTTCCGCCCACAAAATACACAGTCAATTCACTTTACAGAATATTCTGTGAAGCGCTTTGAGACGTCTCGAAGACGTGATAAGGCGCTATGTCAAATGCAAAGATTATTATTATTATTATTATTATAACATTTGCTTAGCCAGAATTAAAGGGACAATCGAGCCTGAGAAAGTGCTGTGTTGAGTTACTCACCTCCGGATTTTATTTAAAGGGTGACGGTTTTCCTGCTCTTCACAACCAGCCGCTTGACATAAATCTTCTCCCGTGGGACATGGTGCAAAGGCCTTGGGAGCCACTTCGGAGATGTCCACACTGTTCCCTGCACTAATACAGCAAAGCGGAAGACAGCCCAGTTAGAAACAGTCAAGTAACACCGGCAATGACACAAATCCTTTCAGCTCCACACAGAGAGAGCGAGAGAGAGAGAAAGAGAGAGAGAAAGAGATAACAAACTCCCACACACAACCTTGAAGTCAATGATCCACTGTATCTGGGGAAATTGTCAGCCAAGACACCAGAAGAACTTCACTTCTCTTTTCAAGTAAACACAATATAATAATCCTTGCATTTGATACAGTTTCTTCGAGACGTCTCAAAGCTCTCAACAGGATATACCGTAAAGTGAATTGACTGTATATTTTGTGGGCGAAACACAGCAGCCAATTGCGCACAGCAGCGTCCCACAAAAGTGATCAAATTTTTTTTAAAAAGATTATTACGCCTGGAAAGCGATCCGCCAATCGACTAGCAACCGCGTTCCTACTTCCTGCGCCTTGGGACGTCCTCCTGACGTGAATACAAATGTAAGTTTGTATTGTATTGTTCTGCTTGTTAAACAGAGTCGTGTGGAGTAAGGAAACGTGCCTAAGGTTTCGCTCTGCCCGGGAATCGTACCCGGGCCCTCTCGCTTGCGAGGCGAGTGCACTAACCAATACGTTACAGGACTCCACGAGTGGTGTCACGGGATCTTTAACGTCCAGGTGAACAGGCGCCGTTGGGAGCATCTTACCCGAAGGATGGCACCCCCGACAATACGACACTTCATTAGTGTATCGGCCTGGACCGTGTGAGCTAGGCTGGACCCCCAGATCCCACAGGAATGTGACCAGGGACTGCTGTGAGACTCAATACAAGTGCCCTCAACAAACATCGCGTCAGCGTAAATCATTCGGAGGAAAATAATTTGACTTCTTTTTTTCAAAGAAAAAAAAATCACAGGTGTGAAAACAAACAGCGTGAAACTTAATCTTTTGGATCCTTTACTGTTACGTTAAGAATGACAGAATGCAAACCGTGAAGCCAGCACATATTTGGAAGGAATGCAGACCTTGAGAAGGCCAGGCCAACCTAATGGACAGTCTGGTAAATCTATCTGCTTTGGAGATAAAGGGATGGGAGCTGACATGCTAGTCTCGCTGCTAACTAACTTAGCTTTTTGCTGCGTGCGGAGAAAGGAGGATGGCTTCACACCACCGCCAGCCAAGCTCGGCTTTGAATGTTATTTTCAAGGCCAGGTACGGCATTCGCTTTGACAACACAGCCAGCTCCGAATATGTGCCTTTCGAGACAAGCAAGTGGTCAGTCGTAGAGTCTTTGCAAACCTCACTGATAAACGCCACCGTTTGGGAGAAGATCAGACACCCGGACCTATACTTCCGTCTGCCTAAGGTTTTGCCAAAGAATTTTGGGCAAGCACACGGAGAGAGAGGGAATTAGAGGGTATGGCGAAAGAGCAGGGAATTGGGATGAGGATGAAAGATTTTTGGAGGAGCAAGCAACCAACTTGACAGAATAGGCCGAATGGCCTCCTATATTGTGCAGGACATTTCTGTGGTTTTGCCCACAGGACATGAGGTAATTCAGAGTACAGTAGAGGCTGAAATGACCTTCCGGTCAAGATTCAAAGGCATTCTCAAGTTTCAAAAGATGCCCCCATTCTCATTCATAAAAGCCTTTCGTGAGAATGATTTACTCTACGTTTCTAATGACGAATAAGATAAAGGAGAAGTGGTGGGCACAGTCCTTTCATCTGCGAGAGTAGGATTTGAAACCAGCCCACGATGACAAGATGAAAGACGTAAAAACTCTCTCTGTCTCTCTCTCTCTCTCTCTCTCTCTTTCTCTCTGGGCCCTATATAACGGTCATTCATCCAGTTCATAATGGGCACAAGCTCACAACAAGGAACCGACCAGTTTGACTCAGTTGGACGCACTTGCGCCTCTGGGTCAGAAGGTTGTGGGTTCAAGCTACACAGCGGGAACTAAGTTCATCAACCAGGCTGTCATTGCAGTGCAACTCTCTGAGGTCCTTCAACTGAGATAATAATAATAATCCTTACATTTGATAGAGTAACCGATCACGTCGTTGAGACATCTCAAATGCCTCACAGGATATAGTAATAATCAAAATCCTTACATTTGATATAGTGCCTTATCACCTCACCACGACATCTCAAAGGTCTTCACAGAGTATACCCTCATGTGAATTGACTGTGTATTTTGTGGGCGAAACACCACAGCCAATTGCGCACAGCAGTGGCCCACAAACTGTCGTGGATTGAGGAATAAGGGCACTCACGGTACTATTTTGAAGAGCAGAGCGAGTTCTTCTGGTGTCCTGGCCAACCTTCTTCCCTCAACCAAATTCACCGGAAAATAAATGGATTTGGTAATTCATCTCATTTGGTGGGACATTGCTGGCGTATTTCCAGACGAAACAAGTCACTACACTTCAAAGTAACTCACTGCACAAAGCACTTTGAGACAGACCAGGGCAGTTGATGCAGGTGGATTCATAGTTTTTATGGAGGGGAGATGAAATCAGACTCTGTGGGGGGAGAGGGAAAAGGGGTGGAGATCTAAAGTACCACAGACCAAATAATTCAACACAATGTGTCTGAAGGGACTGATGTATTCTTACTCCATCCTGCACACAGCCAAACCTTACAGTTTTGTCTGCATCTGGAATTTTCTGGCTTGCAATTAAAAAAAATGCAAATTTTCAGCAGCAGTGGTGGCCCTTTTAAGCAATTTGACACCAGGGAAGTAAAGGTTAAGGCACTGGGAGAGTCTGTCTACTCCAACCTCTAATATGAAGGTAGTTTAAACTAACGAATTAATAATTCAGACCAATTTTACAATGAGATCTGTCCCTTGAGTGCAACTCCTCGTACACTCCTGTGTCAATGATTGATCACCCAAGACCTGCACATAATTGGGGTTGGGGGTGGGTGGGTGATGCTGTGATGGGAGGGAAGTTAGGTCCTCGATACTGGAAGATTGAGATCAAATGGGCCAAAGGGGCGTCTTCATCCGAGCCATTCCCGTAGCATAGCGGTTAGAGCACTCGCCTCGCAAGCGAGAGGCCCCGGGTTTGATTCCCGAGCAGAGTGAAACCTTAGGCAAGTTTCCTCACTCCACCCACCTCTGTCTTCCTAGCAGTATGTGGGATCCAGGTTGTTAGTCAATTAGTGGATCACTTTCTGGGGGTAATAATCCCTTCAACAAAATAACACTAATAATTTCGACACTCAATCCGTGGACTGTTTGTGGGACTTTGAGACGTCGTGGTAAGGCGCTATATCAAATGCAAGGATTATTATTCTAGAGAGGGCACTCTCTACGGGAGATAACACTCCACAAAAAGCTTCTGCAAAAATTGAATGGGGAGAAAACTGGAGAAAAAAAGCACAAGAGTGCTGGAACTATAGTGAACCCGCATCCAAGTGCAGACCTGACATGCCATCTTTCAGAGTGTCACAAGGTCTAATTAACTCTCATCACTGACCAAGAGATGCTATATATATATATAGAGCTATATATAGCTTTCTATATCAGCCTGGCTCAGACGTTAGCACTCTTAACTCTGAGTTAACCAAAAAATAATAATAATTTGTTCACTCAATCCACGACTGTTTGTGGGGACCCTGCTGTGCGCAATTGGCTGCCGCGTTTCGCCCCCAAAGTATACAGTCGATTCACTTTACAGTGTATTGCGCGATGCGCTTTGAGACGTCTAAACGCCGTGATGAGACGCTAAACCAAATGCAATTATTATCATTATAACCACCACCTCTCCACCAAAGTGGCTGCGGGTTTAAGCCGGAAGACTGCGTGGTCAGAGGTGTTGGACTTCGGATGAGACGTTAAACCGAGGTCCCGTCTGTGCCAGTTCAGGTGGACATTAAAGATCGTTGGGCACTTTTCCTAAAGAGAAGGTGAATTTCTCCCATTTCTTTTAGGAAATACAATCTTGATATATAGTTTATATACAGTATAGAGTTTGGGACATGGCATGTGCAGGCGACCGCCAGGATGGTGGAAGGCGAACTGGATGGACCTTGGTCTTCTTACGTCTGGTAATTCTTATGTTTTTATGTTCTCATTAGTGTTATAATATCAATTTGCTAAGCGCTGCCAGAACCGGTGCTTGTAAAAGTTGGGATGGTATTGAATGCACCAGAATCAGCCCTCGGTAGCTTTGTTACTGGAGCCAGTTACTCTGGACACACACAAAATACATACACACACACAAAATACATACACACACACAAAATACATACACACACAAAATACATACACACACACACAGTACATACACACACACAAAATACATACACACACACAAAATACATACACACACAAAATACATACACACACACAAAATACATACACACACACAAAATACATACACACACACAAAATACATACACACACACAAAATACATACACACACACACAGTACATACACAAAATGCATACACACACACAAAATACATACACACACACAAAATACATACACACACAAAATACATACACACACAAAATACATACACACACACAGTACATACACAAAATACATACACACACAAAAAAAATACATACACACACAGACACAAAATACATAGACACACAAAATACATACACAAAGTACGTACACACACAACACACATACACACACAACACAAATACACACTGAACACACATACACACACAACACACATACACACACAACACACACAACACACACAACACACACACACAAAGAAAATACATACACACACACAAACAAAATACACACGCACACAACACACACACCACACAAGACAGCCGTCTGCCTCCCTCTGTGGGTTCATTGATTACAGCTGTTGGTGGGGACCACAAATCACATCCCTCATCTTCCAAAGTGAATTTCAATAAAAAAAAACTCACAAACTCAGCATTTTTTTTCGCATGCGTGCGTGTGTAAAAAAAGAAGCGTAACATGAGCCTGGACTGCCCCACCTAAAGTCCCTATCCGTGAGCGACAGAGCTGAGCAAAGCACAGCCGGAGACACCGACTCTTCCTGCTCCCTTACCCGGGCTTGTACTCACGTGTTTGTTTCCATCTTGTCGCCCTATCGACAAGATCGCAGTTGCCGGCACAGAGAGGAAGAAAACGCTGCCTCTATCCGTGCAAAGACTCCTAGCAACAACGTCAACTTGCCCTTCGCTCAGAGCGCTTAACGGTGGCGGGGCCTGACTCCGAGCCCAGGAGTGGGTGGAAGTGACCATAAGCACGGTCAAAGAGGAAGGTCTTTCCTCCCAGCGAGGCACGAGAGAGACACTCTAAAGTGCCCCCGCTGCCCTCTCCTCGTCCCAAACCATCACCACCATCAGTACCATCATCCGGCTTCAAGTGTTTTCATTCGGAGAAGCAAGCACCAGCATGAAAATGCACAGCACATCACATACCGCAGCGACTCGCTGCACCGGTCTCCAGAAACCTTCACTCACTCCACCCCCTTCCCCAAACCCCAAATCCCCCCCCCCACCCACACACTCCCCAGACAGCTCTTCCTCCTCCGCGCGTTAATGAAAATATTCCAGTATTGTACAGCATCTTAACGACTTAATCCTTAATCAATTGATTAATTACTCAATCCGTAACACGTTTCGCCCACAAAATAATTTCGCTCCAAGTCAATCCACTTTACAGTGGATTCTGCGAAGCGCTTTGAGGCGTCCCGAAGACGTGATAAGGCGCTGTATCAAATGTAAGGATTATTAGTATTTTGCTGCACGCAGCTCTCCTAAAAATCTGTGCTGTCCTTTATTTTCCATTCTGACTGCTCTCGCTCTCAAAACCCACCGTGCAACACCAACGAAATCCCACTGGCAAATTTGACAACACTTTACTGAATCGCTCTCGTCCTGGCCAACTCGCCCTCCTGCCGCAAATAAAATTGGCTGTTTGTTGGGCTGTTACTGTGCGCAAACTGGCTGTCGCGTTCACTCGCAAAATCAAACAGCCGCCGCACTTCACAAGGTCCTGTGTTCGAAAAAGGAATCCAATTTATAACCCTACAAAGCGCTTTGAGGTGTCCTCCTGGTCAAAGGTAAGGTGTATTTTGTTTAAACCGTGCTCACGCCTGCAAACTACACAATCAAATCGCTTCACAACATGTCCTGTGAAGCGCTTTGAGACGTCTCGACGACGTGATAAAGCGCTATATCAAATGCAAGGATTATTATTATTATTATTATTATTATTAAGTGCACTGGCGAAGATCAGTGAAAGCCAGGCATTAAACTCCAGACCATCGCAAGCCCCATTCACAAACTCTGCTTTGAAAACGCATTCTGTACATAACAAACCAGAGACTCACCAGAACTTATCTGATAGCAGGAAAACCGACCGTCTGGTGCTGTCCTGCTGAACAACCCTGGTTTGTAACATGCCAGAGCGAGAGAAGGAAGAGACACAATTATTTTACGCTACTTACCCGAACAAAGGCGTTCAACTGTCTGGAGACCTGCTTTAGCTCCTCGGGTTTGAAGCACTGTATATGTCTGATGAAGCCCTCCCTCACCAATACGGCGCTGCCTTGACGTGTGTGCTTTTACACACTCTACGACTCTGCTTTGAACTGGTGTATAGCCTGCGCGGGGGTCTGTGTGCACTCTTTCTTGTCAGTTCCAGTAACCAATCAACATTGCCTGAGGGCGGCTGAGTCGAAAAGGCCTCTCACTCGCAGCCAATTGGCGCGGCAGCCCTGATAGGCTTTGAAATCATCGCTCTTCCCCTGTCCAGGCTTTCCCCACCCACCCCTCTGCCTCCTCCCCACTCCCCAGATTAGCCAGGGATCAAGTCAGCTTGTCAGATTCTTAACTGCGAACAAAGTCTTGTGCGTTCTCATCGCAGGTTTGACCCCCCCCCCCATAATATACAGTCGATTCACTTTACAGTAAATGCTCCGGAGCACTTTGAGATGTCTCAACGATGTGATCAGGCGAGGCATATTAATATTAAATTAATCCTTTGTGGACTCTTCTGATTTGGTGCACCTGGAGGCATATTGCTTCTGCCTCTGGCTGTACGTGTTTGCTTGTTCGTTTGTGTATGTATGTGCGTGTGCGTGTGCGCGTGTGTGTGTGAGTGATTCTGCGTGTGTCTGTGTCTACGTGCGTGTCTATATAACGCGACCTGTGAGTTGTGTCTGTGCGAGCTTCACCCACCCCCACGCCCCAGCTTCTTTTTCTCTGAAACTGAACTTAAACCAACTGCACATGTTTTATTCATGTCGGGCTATTCATTTGTGAGCAGATAATTAACTCCTTTATGTCCAAACGTTTTTTTTTGTCCAAGTTAAAAATACGATCAAAATGAAGAGCCTTTTGCTTGTCGAATTCTGCTCGAAAGTCGGCAGGCGGAACAAGTCGAACTTTAAGTAATAATAATAATAATCCTTGCATTTGATAAAGCGCTTTGAGATGTCTCAACAACTTGATGAAGGCACTATATCAAATTCAGGGATTATTATCATTATTATTATTAGTGTCTTAACACGCAGTTCAGACGTCTTAAAGCCCTTCGCAGAATATATTTGTAAAGCGCTCCTGGGACCCTACCCTGCCCAAGGAGCTGTTGTTCGACCTGCCAATCGACTAACAAACGGATTCCTAATTCCGTTAGGTAAGCGGAGACAGTGGAATAAGGAAACTTGCCCAAGGTTTCGCCCCGCCTGGGAATCGAACCCGGATCCTCTCGCTTGCGAGGTGAGCTCGCTGACCACTCCACAAAATCTGTCCGCTGGGAGCCAGTGAAGACTGGCGACGACCGAAGACGCGTGCAAAGAGAAGGAGTGGGGTGACTGAGCAAGTCGGAGTGACTTGGGAATGGAGTCTTATCGTAAGAAGACGACTCTTCTGCCCTCCTCTCTCGGCTCCTTCTTCTTCAAAGCTTTTCGCAGTAAGTAGGAACCCGGTTGTAAGTTTATTGGCAGATTGTTTTCCGGGGGTACTAATCCCTGCGAAAAAAAAGAAAGTAAACAAATAATAATAATAATTTCTAGTCACTCAGTCCACAAGCGTTTTTGTGGGACGCTGCTGCGCGCCAGTGGCTGCTGCGTTTCGCCCGCAAGACACACAGTCACGACACTTTACAGTATATTCTGTGAAGCGCTTTGAGACGTCTCAGCGATGTGATAAGGCGCTGAATCTAATGCAAGGATTAGTATTATTATTAACATAACAGGCTGATGGGCACGTGCGCTCTCTCAGTATCAGCTAGCTCCCTCTTTCTTCCGAGCCCAGTTGCAGCTTTACATTTGCCGACAGTCTTATGTCTGGTCTCCCCTCATCATTAGGAGACTCCTTCGAGAGCTCCCAATAACAGATTTTCTCTCCCTTCTGAATCGCAACAGCATTTCAATTTGATTATCGCTGAATCTAATTATGTTTCACTGTATTATTTATTTGCATCTGCTCCTCCCGTTTGGAGCCCCAAAGCCCCGCACCTGCCACTCGCTGTCCTTCAGCTGCGAGCGCAATGGCAATTGCAATAAAGGTAAAGCTTTTCGGGAGTGGGGTGTGGGGGTGGGGGGTCTGGGTGGCAATGTATCTAACTCACTGCTGTGCCCATTACAGGAAATGCCAGCTTCGGCATCAAATCCCTTCATTCCGTCCCGCCCTGGCATCTCCCTCCCTCCCCACCTCTCCGACCTGCTTACCCCCCAACCCACAACCCGCTGCCTACGCTCGACTGGCTCCGGCCTCCTGCATGCCCCTCGTGTCCTCCGTTTCACCATCAGTGTCCCTGCTATCAGCTACTACGCTCCGAAATTCTGGAACACTCTTCCTCTATCCTTCTGCCTTGCCCCTTCCTTGCCCACCGTGCAAGAACAACAACAACAAGATTTCATTTATAGAGCGCTTTTCACGTCGGGAGGATGTCCCAAGGCGCTGGACAGTTGGGTTAGGATCCGAGCAAGGGGGGAATGGTCAGGGTGAGGGGAAGGAAGGGAGGGAGTGAGGAAGGGGTAGAGAGTCGAGAGGAGAGCTGAAGGCACGGTCAAAGAGTCTTGAGACCGACCTTGAAGGAGGAAAGGGAGGAGGCAGCGGAGGCACTGGGGGATAGAGTTCCAGAGCCTCGGGGCTGAGAGGCTGAAGGCCCGGCCACCAATGGTAGGGCGGTTGGGGCGGGGGATGTGGAGCAGACCGGAGCCAGAGGAAAGGAGGGTACGGGCAGGTAGGTAGGGGGATAGTAGGTCGGAGAGGTAGAAGGGAGCAAGGCCGTGAATGGCCTTGTAGGTGAGGATGAGGATCTTGAATTCGATCCTCTGGGGGATGGGGAGCCAGTGGAGGTGAGCGAGGGTGAGGGTGGGAGTGATGTGGTCGCGGTGTCTGGTGCGGGACAGTACACGAGCTGCAGAGTTCTGAATGACCTGTAGTGTGGAGGGCGGTGCCGGGAAGGCCGACGAGTAGAGAGTTCCCATAGTCCAGCCTTGAGGTGATAAAGGCGTGGACCAGAGTTTCAGCCGCGTGAGGGGTGAGGTAGTGCCGTAGTCTGGCGATGTTCCGGAGGAGGTGGAAGGCGGTGCCAGTTGTGGTGCGGATGTGGGGAAGAAAGGACAGCTCAGGGTCGAACAGAACCCCGAGGTTCCTGATGGCTTTGAGAGGTGGAGAGTGCAGCCTTGGATGCTGATGGTGTCAGCGCCTGAGGTGCGGAGGGCCTCAGTTTTGCGCACGTTGAGCTGAAGAAAGTTGTCTCTCGTCCAGGACTCGATGTCGGACAGGCAACTGTCAGGACATCGGGGGTCGTGGAGTTGAGGGTAGAAGAGGAAAGGTAGTGTTGGGTGTCATCCGCATACATGTGGAAGTTTAGGGTTAGGGTTAGTGCACTGTGCATCACTCACCTTTTGTTGACTCAAGTGAATGTTCGATGCCATCGGCTGACTCCTGATTTGACCATTAAGTCTGAGAATGAATAGCCCAACCCAGCCCCGCACTTCAATTCTGCTGGACCCTCTGTTCACAGACTGTCATTAATTAGAGGCTGCAAATGTAAATCAAAGTTCTCTGTCTCACCTTCAGTGGTTTCAACACCATTCGATTTTGATAACCTTGTTAAAATTCAGATTCAGTGCCAACCAACACATGTCCCGCTACTGACCTTGTCAGACCTCGGTGGTTGGTTGAGGTGTTTTTTTCTTTTTGCAGTTTATTTCCGTGGGGACCATTGTTTCGGAGTCCTGCTCTGTTCTCCCCTTTCCCCCACCCACCCCTTCCCCAGGATCCACCACAGTACTAATCCCGTCCCAAGGCACTGGACAGTCAGGAATTCAAGTCCTCTCTTGTATGAGTTGCCACCTTATCAACTATCTGATCCAGAGACAACAGTGCTATCAACGGAGCCAAACAACACCATCTACTGTGTTTTCTCTGGGTTTGTTTTGTCAAGACATTTTGCACCTCAGCACTTTCGGGCAGGGTTGTCACATGGTCGTCAACAACAGCAACAACAACTAGCAGCCCTCACACAGGGTAGCATTTCTTCCACTATCAGCTGTCACTCCTGAGGTTAGTAAGCTGTGCCATTAAGTGGCCAGATTGGAGAGTCAGCCCTAAAGCGATCTCAGCCCGTTTCAGAGATTGCACACAGCGATAGCATCAGTCTGTCTAAGAAAATGTGTCTTTTCAACAGATTAATCCGTGCTTTTGTATTTGCCCGTAATACACTGGAATGGCTTCTCAAACCACGCACGGCTTGGGTTAAGGACATAGCTTTGGGCTCGTGTCTACAGGAATCTTCAGCCACAAATAAGCATGGCATTCGGAGTTGAGTATAACCAGCCCTCCATAATAGTCCACAACTAGTGAAATTTCTGTGTGTCTGTCTGGCTCGGTGTTCTTGCTTCTGAGTCAGAAGGTTGTGGGTTCAAGCCCCTCATTGGGATTTGGAATCCCACAGCCAAAGTTGACGCTCCAATGCAGTTCTGGGGCGGGTGTTGTATTGTCAGAGGTGCGTCCTTCAGATGAGAAGTTAAACCGAGGTCCCATCTGCCTGTTCAGGTGGACGTTAAAGATCCCATAATAATATTAATAATCCTTGCATTTGATATAGCGCTTTTCACGTCGGGAGGACGTCCCGGTACAGTATACTATACTGTACAGTGAATTGACTGTATATTTGTGGGCGAACGCGGCAGCCAATTGCGCACAGCAATGTCCCACGAACAGTCATAGATTGAAAATGACCAATTTATTATTGTTTTGTTTTTTTGGAGGGATTATTATTAGGCTCTGAGTGGAGTAAGGAAACTTGCCCAAGGTTTCGCCCTCTGCCTGGAATTGAACTCAGGTCTCTCACTTGCAAAGCGAGTGCTCTAACCACTGAGCTACAGGACTCCACTCCCATGGTATTATTCAACAAGAGAAGGGAGTTTCTCCTGGTGTCCTTGCTAACAACCTCCCCAAATAAAATTGGTCGCTCACTCCACTGCTGTTTGTTGGACATTGCTGTGCACGTAACTGGCTGCTACGTTTCACCCACAAAATAAATAGTCAATCCATTTTACAGTATATCCTGTGCAGCGTTCGAGATGCCTCGATGATGCAATGAGGCGCTATATCAAATGCAAGGATTATTCTAATATATATGATATATTATTATTACAGCACAGAAGAAGGCCATTCGGCCCATCGTGTCATGTCTGTGCTGGTTCTTTGAAAGAGCAGAAAAGCTTAGCGCTGGTTTTCCAGCATTCTGCATTCCAGCTAACCTCTTTCAAACCACGTGCACCGTGCATATCTTGCCTGCCCTTAA